GACGCGCTTCGCTGTCGATACCGCGCCTGGTTATTTTTAGCTCGCGTCTCAGCGGTCACGTTCGCAAATGCACTGTTGTCGCGGACCGCGAGGCCTCGTTTCCTGTCTCTATATTTTAGTGTCTCTGATCACATGACCCATGACCTATAAAAGATTCTATTTTAAGTAAAACGGGAATTTCCATTTTACAGACACTAGTCTTCACAAAGATCGTGTATAATAGAGATCAATCTATGGTCTTGATTCAAGTGGTGACGTCGTCTGTGGAAGATATTACATGTAGATCTATACGTATGCCTAAATTGATAAAATAATACTGTTTGAAAATAAACGAAAATGTGTTGACATTTCCATCATGCTAAAACGTCACCTTTTTTTCTGCTTCTAACTTACACTTATGACACTTATGTTATATAGTATATAGTCTTAACATATAGATCTAGTAGGATAATCCCCACACCCCCGTTGTTGTTTTTTTGTGATTAATTTTCGAAGGAGCCCAGGTTTTGAAGGTAGCCTAACACTTTTTAATTTTCTAAACACAAAACACAATTATACTTCACACAGACTAACACACATTAACGGTATTAGTCTATAGAGGCAATGCATAAACGATGTTTTTAGTAATTTGTAACCCTATCCATACGCCCTGGGGTCATTTTGTACCCCTGGGGTTGTATTCTTCACATTTTAGAATACTATTTAGAATTTTTATTATAGTACGAAGGTCTCTTTGAAACTTTCAGTATTTCTCAAAAAATCATTTTGGCAGACTGCTATGCAAAGCGTACGGATCGGACTAACGAGTTTAAATTTCCTCTTTGGAAAGTGGTGGCACCAGAGTTCCCCACATAGTATGGATACAATAGTAAAACACGACTACGGATAGGGTCAAGTATAGAAATCTATGATTAGTGGGGTCATTTAAATTTGTCATGCTTTGGACTTTGGTGAATTTAATAGCTCTCATAACTGCGAGTGTCACATCAAAACCATCAGACCAATATAGCTCATTATTGCCATCTTCAGATCGAGTCCTTAAAAAAAATGAGTAGCTCCATATCATTGAAAATGAACTGGGAGGTTAAAAATGTCTTTATCTCATAATAATCTTTCACTGATTTTCACTTACAAAAAACTAAAAAGTTCTCTAATCAGCCTAATCAGGTCTAAATTTAGTCTCTCGAAAAGGACTCAAAACCTATTTTATATATTTTTTAATTTGGGGGGGGGGGGGTTGCTTACATATTTTGAGCGGAATTGATTTATTTTAATATCACACTGTTGAAGATCGGATTGTACTCAAATCAAACTTTAACAAATGTATTAAGATACAAAATGATCAGACATGTCATAAATCGACGCTCTGATCATCGCTCTGACAGCTCAAAGATCCAGTGACTTGTCAAAATGCTGCAACTCTTCATGCTCTATAGCTACAGTATTGTTGTTGTTGTTTGTTATTATGTTGTTGTTGGTGGAGATGGGGACCATGGTACCAAGGTGATGTGGTGGTGATGGTCTGTTGCAGCAGAGATGAATAATGATGAAGTGTGGTGATTGAGGGACTTCTGTAACACCTAATATATTGCTTCCACCTTCTTCTCCTCTTTATTTCTTCCAAGGGGGGGGATAATAAATAAATATCATGCTATGCCCAGGATAGAATAGTAACACTGGTATATACGAAAACGAGTGGAGCTGGCCAACTTGTCAATTAATCTACACTTATTGTATGCAGAAAAAGTCAAGTAAAAAACATACTTCGCTTTTTATCGGGAAGAACCACCACAGATTGTGTAATGAATGCATTATCTAAAAATCATACAGCCTATCGTATTATTTAAATATCGTGCAATATCTTAAGAGGAATAGTTAAGAGCGATGAGTCCATTTTATTGTGATTAAATGTTTTACTCATTGGCTGTGTTTTTGCATATATGCGCAGGCATGCGTATCATGTATAATTATATCTTCAACAGGACCTGGAATGAAGGACAGCTCCCAACAGAATGGAAGAAAGGAAACATCACACCGATACTGAAGAAGGACAAACCAGCAAGCCAGCCTTCAAGCTATAG